CCCCCCCAAAAAAAAAATAAATAAATAAATAAAATAAAAAAGCTAGGAAAATCACCTTCCCGCGAATCAGTTCCGACACCGATCATAAGAACATGCTCTATTCTGCACAAATTTCTTGGTTGCTCCAAACAAATCAAGTGAGTCCCCCGCGGTAAGCAACTTGCCCATTTCACAAGATCTGGATCATCGTTCTGGCCATCAAGGGCAATGATAAGCTGAAAAAGTCACATCTTGAACTAAGAAGCCTTATTTTCACGTCGCGTCATGCGTCTGCAGGTGATTTTACAAAGCACATAATTAGAAATCTTTACTTATTGCAAAAGTATCCTTCACAATCATTTAAGACTACTCATTAAACTGAAATTATAAAGATTACTCGTCCATCACCGATAGGCAGATCCCTAGGGTTACTGACATGCCGGACGTGTGGTAAATCCACCACGACGGCATCTTCGCCAAATATGACTGTCTTACAAGCTCTGTTAGAAAAATGTTGTACACATCTACTCAACAGCGAACGATTTGCGACTGGAGAAGTCAAGACCACTAATTCATCGACCATCACTTCAAATCTATGAGAGAAGCATAAGGATTACTAGACAAATATGTAAGTAACCAAGGAGGCTTAATAATACACTCTGAATGGTATTTCCAAGATTTACATGAAACCTGTAAAGCAAAATTGCAAAAAGCGCTGTACTAACCGGTCTATAACTGCCCACAAAAACATTAATAGACGATCAGCCGTTTGCACATGGAAAACGTCACTTCCAAGAAAAGATTCGGCAACCTGAAATAGACTTACAAAATAGAGCGAGAAAAAACTTGTTCCTTCGGATGGAAATAAGAGAGGAATAAGTAAAGCAAAACCACAATTTTTCTGTTTCACTGACATAAATATGAACAGATAAACCATGAATAATAACTAACACTTAAGTAATGCTGCTTATCCTCATAGCTCAAAAATGGAATTTTGATTCCTTTTTGAGTTGTGGCAATACGTGAAGCTGTATAAAGTGTGTGAGTTTCATCTTCTTCCACCTTAGATCGCGCTGGAGCTGTTGTCCAACTTGTTACTCGCGATGGATCATTAATTACATTTTCATAATGTTTGTAGTTCTTCTCCTCAATTTTAGGGAAGAGATGACCATTCTCTTCCATCTCCACACTCTAAAATGCAAACAATGAACAGTTACTAACCAAGTAAAGCAACATTCTTGTTTGAAGCATTGAAAAGCACTATACCATTTTGTCAAATAAGGCGAGATTTCCTTCAAAATCAAAATCTGTTGTAAACGTCTCAGGATCAAGCGGTTTGGACAGATGGCGGTTGCGTTTACTAACCCAAAACCCGTTATCCGAATCAAGCACTGGATCGCCACAGCCATGAGCTGCAAAAATCAAACTGATGAAGGGAATGATGAAGAAATGAATAATGAAACTCCCTAGACCGTCCCATCTACGTACTTCATGCAAAAAATTCAAAAAAATAACGTACTAGCTTTCTTTCCATTGCACTTTGAGTTCCCGGAAACATATCTCGAATATTTCATGTTACAACCATTCCTCGTCCCCCAACGTTCATTCCGCCCACTGTTGTTAGAATACAAATTCCTAGACCTTAAAACCC